GAACATATTTTCTATTTGTTTTATTTGTATTGGTAAATCCTATACTCATAAGTTAGGAGTTTATTTAGATTATGTAATTCTAGAGTTCTATTTAATTAAGATTGTTGCTTCATGTTTTTCATGAATTATTGAATTTGTGTGATTTTCATGCGGAGACAAATTGTTTGTATATTTGCTCGAATGAAAACAACTCAAATTGACATGATTAACTAATTTAGTGCAAAGATTTGTATTTGAAGTTTGAAATTTCCTTTCCTTTTTTATTGTTTTTTTTAAATAAATGACCATGTCATATTCCAATTTTTTATAGCACATCCAATCTCATTTATATGAGTTTGTATAATTGGTCTGTCTTTTAATATGAGAGCCGGACTTTGGCGAAGGGATTAGTAATGAGAGGAGGTGACGACCATGCCAATGACTTTGTCTGACCTTCCATGACTAGAGGTAAAGTAAAGGTTTGAGTTCAGAAATATTCAGGAACTTAAATCGAGCTATCTATATATTTTTATTCTAGATTTGTATGCATAGTCATTGATAAAAATTTCTTTATTCCCTGTGATGTGGTGATTTTGTTTCTTAATTACTTTTATTTTCCTGTAAGTAGTTGGAAGCTCTAAATTATTTGAAAACAATTCCTTATTTCTAGAGTTGATTTGGATGCAATTCATTGTACATGAAAGTGATAAGCACAAAAAGTTTTGGATTATCATTTGTTGTAATGTATAATTTATTTTACCCCCTTTTGTTTGATTCGTTTGGTTATTACTATCACATGTAATATTTGTGTTTGGGTTATTGATTATTTTGTAAACCTAGGTTTTTTTTTTGAGTTGTAAGAAGAATTTTATTAGAGTTGTTGGACAATTGGCTTGGGTGTGATGCAATAACAAAGTCAAAATTTACAATTGCATTTAGATTCGTAGATGTGGTTTGATTATTAATGGAGTACAATGTATATACGAAGCAATAAGTTGTTGACTCTAATTTACTAAGAAAATGGAGTTTTATTTTTCTACTTAATTGTTTGGTTACTTTACTTAACGTCACTTTGTTGGAGATCAAATTTAATTTTGTACTATAAGGAAGGCTATCTACTCAAATATTTGTTATCTAGACATTTCTACAATCTGAGGGACACTAGCGAGGGTTAAATCAAAGACATATGAATTGATGCTTTGTCCAAAACTAACTCTTTCTCATGGGTTATCTGAGCATGTTATGATGGTATACCATTATTAGAATTATACATTTGAACATGAAAGATTGTTCTTTTTTTTAAGTGTGTTGGGGCATTGGCGTATTGTAAACTAAATTTGATGCCCTTTTTTAATTTGTGAAAATGTTTGAATTTTGGGTTATAGAAATGTCTAGATATGTATTTGTGTAGCAAACTCTAATTTTTTTTTCTTTGGGTAAACGTAGCAGACTTTGTGTTGAAGTCAATATAATCTATTTGGCTTGGGTTGTGCTAAGTTCTTTGGGATTTAACCAGAGTCAAATTTTTTGTGTTTGAATTAGAAAAGTTGGCTGAAGTCGTGGATGGTATCATCTAGTCCAATACACCAGAAGGTATTGCTCTTTTCTTCTATTGTAGATATTCTACAATGCATTTGTTATGTATCAATAGAAAGATTTGATTTTGGACTTGACTTATTTTTTGTTGCTTAAATGTCCTATTTGGGTGAGATTTTGGCAGTGTTCTGCAAGTTGGACTTGTCTTTTTTATAAAATAAGATTGCATTGGTTTGACAATCACAATTGAAGTTATGGTTGTAACTAATTTTTCGAAATAATCATGGAGTATAATATGCAATAAATATAAGCACTAGGATTAGTTAAAATATAAAATTTTGATAGCTCATTCCTGTGATCGTTGGTCTACCTGCATAGTTGATTATGAATGAATCATGTGTAGATTATGAATATCATCCCGTTTTGTTATGGTTTAGTGCTAATTAATTGAAATTGTATTCATGTGTACTTTTTCTATGGTATTGAGAACCATTTGGTGGTCTCTTTATTAATGGAAGTCGCATGCAGTACTTTGTTTGTTCTCTTTGTTTATCGAAGTCGCATGAACCAGAAATGTAAAATTTCATAGTTGTTAGTGGTAACTATTATGATTATGGTGTTCACTTTGCTTTGGACATTTTGGTGATCAGTGTGGAAAATTAATTTGATCATGATAACTAATTTGTTTTCTTTAGTATTTGGATATTTGTTTTTTGGATTGTACTTTTTTTATGTGTGGTTCATTGAGTGAGTGAATAATATTTTTTTTTTGTGTTATGTAACTTTAATGTTGGATTGATTCAAGTAGTATGAAATTTTAGTTTTTTAATACGAAGAGAATGAGATATAATGGCTTGAGTTTGAGGAGTATTGAGTGTTTAGATAAAAAGCAAATAATTCATACTTATTCCAATTTTCTAAGTTGTCAAATAAAATATTTTTGACACTCCATTCAATTCTTGATGGAAACGGAGTTTTGCAAATTCTCTTCGAAATTGGGGATTTTCTCTAGCCCCAACGACGAGCGAACAAATACAACAATANATTCTCTTCGAAATTGGGGATTTTCTCTAGCCCCAACGACGAGCGAACAAATACAACAATAATCTCTTTTATGTCCATTCAAACTGTAACAACATTTTAGAGAGGTTTCTATTGTGAAGTACTGTGGTGTGGGTCAATATTTTTTTAAAATGAAGATTTTTATTATTTACTACTTTCATTATACAAATTTTATATGAGATTGATATTGTCTAAAGGTTGTGTTTTTAGAGTATACTGTACTGATTATTTTTTTGAATAGTAAATCTATATTGATTAGTATTTTGTGTTATAAATTATTTTCAAGTGCATTTTTTGTAAATAATGTCTTTAGGCACGAGCAATGACTAGATTATTGAACTGTTACAAATTTTCTTTATCAATTGTAATTCTTTTGGGTGTAATTCTTTAATTTATATAATAAAACAACTCATACTTTAAATTTTATCCGAGTCATATTTTTTTCCTCAAAATCATCACCAATCACTTATCTCACCCATCATTCTTCTGTCAAATTCAAACGTCAAGTCGTATCACTAATTTCTATCACATGTTTAATCATTTATATTTTTCCTTCTTAAAAATATTACATCACTTATTTCTATCATATGTTTAATTATTTAATATTTGATTAATTTGTAGTTAATATAATTTTTATTTCAAATATTATCCATATACAATAGTATACACATGTTAAAAAAATTTAATATAGTAAAATCGATTTTTTGGGTGCTAAAATTTTATATTTTATCGTGCCTTTAGAAATGAGTTATGACTGGTATATATATAAGACAAAACCTAAAAGAAGACAGGCGCCTTCTGAAATGACTAACCTAAATCTTGACTGAATTACACTTAGATCCTTTTTAGTTTCTCTCATTAACACATACACCACATAATTCCCATATTTTATAAAATGACACTAAAAGAACATTTTTTTCCGTCTTTATGGTTTATACCAATACTCAATTCTTATCACAAAAATTTAACCCCTAGGGTTATAATTCAAAAATTTCTCCAACTCCAATTCCTGTATCTACAATTTAATCTCCAGACTAATTATAATAATTACACATTAGACACCAATATTTAATAAAATGTTATACAATGCATGTATGAGTCTCATAACTCTCCTCCACTAAAAAAAAATGACCTTGAAATTAGTTACTATAAGAAAATAGATGAGGATACTGTGCTCGCATAATCTCCTTACTCTCCCATGTCGCCTCTCCCACCAAATGACTTCGCCACAAAACCTTCATCAATGGTATAGTCTTTGTGCGTNCTATAAGAAAATAGATGAGGATATTGTGCTCGCATAATCTCCTTACTCTCCCATGTTGCCTCTTCCACCAAATGACTTCGCCACAAAACCTTCATCAATAGTATAGTCTTTGTGCGTGGAACTTTCTCCTTGCGGCCCAAAAATTTCACTAGCTGCTCAACATAAAAAAAATCTTCACTCAACTCAATAGGCTCTAATGTGAAGACATATGATGGGTCTGACAAGTATTTTTGAAATATGAATACATGAAATACATGCCACTATTCAAATCCATTCTAAAATCTCAAACGGACTAATGTAGCGTGGACTTAATTTACCCTTCTTACCAAACCATACAACACCCTTTCAAGAAGAAATCTGCAAAAAAAAAATTAACAATTAGAGCATGATGTAAAGCTTCCAAGGAGATCATTAGTTAACATTACTTGTTTTAAATGCATTCTTGCATTATAGGCGCAGGTGTTGACACNCTGCTAAAAAAAATTAACAATTAGAGCATGATGTAAAGCTTCCAAGGAGATCATTAGTTAACATTACTTGTTTTAAATGCATTCTTGCATTATAGGCGCAGGTGTGTCAAGTTATAATTTCTTCTTAGGGATATCAAGTTGGTCTCTCGGGATAGGGTGTGACAATATTCTTTTAAAAGGCATGAAATTTTAAATTATTGTATTGCCTCCCTTATATTTAATAAAGTTTATATGACTTTCTTTAAATTAATGTGTTGCCCCCTTGATCTTTTCAAAAGTTTATATGGCTTTTTCAAATTAATTCCCCTTGATTTGTTTAAAGTATACATAACGGCTTATAAATCTTGTTATTCGTTACCTTTTTGTTTTTTGTAAGTCAACGACCTTTAACATAGTAAAACATGAAGATATGAAAATTGTATAATTTTTTGACTCAAAAGAGCATTTTTTGTTTTTTCAAAAAATCAATTTCTTAACAAAATGTAGAATGATCTCAAGTGGACTTTATAACAAATTAACTGTCACGAACTCTCTGACTATATAGATTAAAGTTGAAATTTTTTATACCAGTGGATATTTATTTTATATTTGTTTTACCCCCACTAACGAAGGATTCTGACTCTGCCTCTGGTTTGATCTCCATTGTTATGATTGAATACAGAAAAATTCAAGTTAGTCAAAAATTCATTATGGTGATGTCTACAATGAANATACCAGTGGATATTTATTTTATATTTGTTTTACCCCCACTAACGAAGGATTCTGACTCTGCCTCTGGTTTGATCTCCATTGTTATGATTGAATACAGAAAATTCAAGTTAGTCAAAAATTCATTATGGTGAAAGGCAAGCCTGATCGGGGTCATGCCTGCTGTCATTGTCCGGCAGCGCAAGCCCTGGCGCCGAAAGGATGGTGTCTTCATGTACTTCGAAGATAATGCTGGTGTCATTGTGAATCCAAAGGGAGAAATGAAAGGGTCTGCTATTACTGGTCCAATTGGGAAGGAGTGCGCTGACCTGTGGCCAAGGATTGCTAGTGCAGCCAATGCCATTGTTTAGGAGTGAAGACAGACAAGGATAAAAAAATTTGTAAACTTATTGCCATCATTTATCAGATGTTTCAGGCTGTTAATGAAATAATTTGCTTCCAACTTAAAAAAAAAAGTGATAGGACCCACTGATCCAATGGCTGTAAGTGATTTGATGTAATTTTTGGTGCACATGACATTGCTCATTTTTTTAATGGGAATGAGATAGTCATTGTCTATTAAATTTACTTTCATTTGAATGAGAACTAAGAACAACTCTAACCGACATCTCAAAGTCAACTGGAGCTCCCAATGGTCATATTTAACAATTGTTACTTCTCCAACAGAGATGTCAAATGTTTAGATGACAAAATAGAATTTGGTAGTATGCTAAATTTAATATATCCTCTTTGTTATGTTAAATCTCTTAAATGTATTATTTTATTGAGTAAAAAAAAATTTAATGCAAAAGCTTTCAAACAAAATTTGAAGGCAAAAACTTCCTATAGCTAATTACACAATTAATGGTCATAATTACACAATGAGATACTACCTTGTTGTCGCCATTTATGAAAACAATTTCATGCCCACAAGAGCCAAAGGCTAAAAAATTTTGTTGCAGCTCAAGAATCTGACAAAAAAAAATGTTGAATGAGCATTTGTAGTGCTCAAAGGACGTATTACAATTATTAATGGGCCTACTCATATTTGGGATCGTCAAACACTTCAACTGATCATGATGGCTTGCGTTGTAATGCATAACATAATTGTTAAGGATGAATGCGATGAAAATCTTCCACTCAATTACGATGCAAACGAAAGTTACAATGAAGAACTTGTCATGTCGCACAAACCCACCTTACAATTCCAAGATTTTATTCAAAATCGTTTTCACATTTGCGATGGGGGAGTACATTCTCAACTCCAAGATTTGGTTGAGCACTTGTGATATTGTCATGGGATAATACTAACATATAATTTAGTTTGAGTTTATGTTTTAGAATTGTTCTTTTAATTGTTGTTTAAATTTTTATTTGCTAAGTTTAATGAGAATTTTAGTTTCAATAAAATATATACTATTTTTCATATAAAACTTATAATATTTTAAAAATTATTATTTTTAATAATATTTATTTTAATTAATCTCAAATTTTATTTTAAAAATATATATTAAATTAATATAAGAAAAAAGATTTAAATATAAAGATAAAATAAAATAAAATAAATTATTTTGACATTAATTAGAGTACAATTAAGTAAAAATGTCAAATTCTTCATGTCAAAATGTCACATAACCCTTCAAATTTAAATTTAACATCTCATTTTTCATACCTCCATTTGGAGATGCTCTAAGTCCTATGTTTGAGGTTCCTTCCATATGGGTCCAATTGAGTTTTATCTTGTCATATCTGGAGCTAGGGTTCCACCTTTGGCAGGTTGGGTGGGTTGAGAGATCAACGTTAAGAGTAAAATCTTTAATCTTAATGTTAACCTTAAATCAACACAAGTATTGCCCTAGTTGAATTCGGATTATTCAATTCAGACTTATTCTGGGTTTAAATTTGGGTTAGGTTTGTACAGGTCTTAAATCAGCTTGTTGTTTTAAATCTAATAAATGCTATATAATATTTGCTCGAAGTAATAACCAACAATTTCAATCAAATGTTTAACATGAAGACCAAAATATTTAAACCATAAAGAAAGCATAGTGGACAAAAACTAAATTATATTTTTCTTAACATAAAGACATAATAGCCAAATTAACATAAAAAACCACAATGGACTCGATGTTTAACTATAATATTCATGTTGAGTCCGGTTTATATATTCGGGTTGAACTCGATAATTCGACATCTTAACCTAAATATTGTCCAAATTTATTTCGGGTTGATATTTTTCAACCTAGACCCAACTCAAGTATTAAAAATTTCAATACAATCTTTGTTTTTTCGGATTGAGTTCNTCGTCAAACACTTCAACTGATCATGATGGCTTGCGTTGTAATGCATAACATAATTGTGAAGGATGAATGCGATGAAAATCTTCCACTCAATTACGATGCAAACGAAAGTTACAGNAAGTGACATGCTCCCGATCAATTATTCCTCATATCCAAGGCCTGCCCTAAATAGCCGAATGAAACAATAAACTTTAGCTAATTACGTTAGTTTCAAGATTCCATGTACATAATTTTGATACGATTTTATTTAGGAACGATCCAATCAATTTTAGATCGATCATAACTTTTTCTTTACTGCAATTTTACTTTATTGGAGTGTAGCTTAACCCAAAAATCTCATAATCGTACACTATTTAATTGCGAATTTTCATATGATAGCTCTCTCAATAACGTAATCAATTTACAGTAAACAAAGCAAGAATGCAACTACAGTAAAATGAGAATATTCGGGACAGATCTCAATATTTTTGATTCGATTATATAAATTTTTTCTATTACAATTTAACTTTATTAAAATATAATTTAACTCAAAAAAATTTAATTACATTTTAATTAATTAATTATAATTTTGAGTGCGATACCTAGATACCGTAAACAAATCATGAAAACTTTAAAAAGTAGTTTAAGTGGTAATAAGAAGGAGTTGTAAATTCAGAAGTCATGAGTTTAAATCGTAACAATTCTTTGGGGTTAAACTATGAGAAATTTATCCATCGACCTTCATGAATACTTTAATTCTAACGTAGATGATCTGTCTTTGATCAAATTAAAAAAAATTAATTAAAATATGTGTAAATTAGTTTAAACATTTTTAACCGATAAAAAAAAAAAAATCGTAACACCTTACTCAAATCCGCGATACATTAATGATACTTCACCATAAAGCTGGTGAGAGTCGTGACAAGAAGGAAGGCGTGGGTAGTACATTCTCTAGTGGTGGGGGTCCACTTTTATGGAACTCATCGAACACGCTACTCTCATGTGGCTCTCCTATCCTTGTTCATAAGAAAATTCGACCGGTCATTGTTGCGTGCACGTTCTGTATGGTTAGGTATTGAGAATTCTCTTAATCTCGAATTATGTTGGCAAAAAAAAAAAATATTGAGATTTCTATTAATATATATATTTTTTATTTTTTTTAACAAATTAATTATCACGTATTTAAGTGAGATTTATTGTATATAAGTAAAACAATCAGTCAATAATGACGAATGATTCAACAACAAAATTTTTTTTTTTTAAAAAAAGAAAGTCTATTGAAGAGGATTTGAGTTACATGGTTAGGCTTTGAGCATTGATAATGGTGTGGTCTGTTTGTTTAATATTTATTTTTTATAATCTTATTCTTCTTCGATAATGTACCCACGAAATGAAAAGAAATGGTTAATTGGATGGGGCCAGCAACCCAGGACAGGAAAGGTTGACTTTTTATATTTGGAAAAAATTTATCCACACCCCTAAAATTATGTTTAAATTCAATGACATCCCCTTCTGATTTTGAAACTCCACAGTCATCCCTGGTTAGTATTTGTCGGATTACGACGTTAATGACAATTGTTAATTTATAGAATACTTATAAATATTTTATAGGATAAATTTTATCCACACATTTGTAAATAGACATAACTTCAATGACATCCCCTATAAATAGACTTATCTTTAACAATACTCCTTCCGATTCTGAAATTTTAATGCACTTCCTTTTAGTTTTATTATATTAACCTTTAGGTTCATCAATTTAATATTTAATTTTATAAAATTAATGACATTTATTTAATTTAAACTAAATTAACATTTCATCTCATCAAATCAACATAAATTGACATTTAATTTTATTTAATTCAACACCAAATGAACATTCAATTACATTAAAGCAAAATTTAAATTTATTCAATTAATATTAAATTTTATCAAATTAACACTGAATAAAATAAAATTAACACCAAACTAATATTTAAATTTATCAAATTAAGACTAAATTTATTTAATTATTATTAAATTTTATCAAATAATATTTAAATTTTATATATGAATGGTGATATGTGAAGAGTGGTCAGGTTACGTTTGTGGAGGACAGATGATAGCAAAAAAGTTAGAAATGGATGAGATGTTGATATAGAATTTATTGATTGCAATTTTTATTATAGAAAAATTATTTTAAACTACAAAAATTATAAAAACTCGATTATGTAACCAAATGAGTGATAATATGATTACTAATATTATAACAAAGTTATCATGCAACGTTTTCAAATGATAAAGATTTATTAAAATAATATAATGATAGAAATTACGCTTATCTCAACCTTTTCCTCCACTATTTCTCTGTCTCCACCAACAGTTGAAGAAAACATCAATCTACAATAATACATCATAGCATATTGACATAATAAAATGAAAGAAAAAAATTTTAAAAATGTTCATGAACAAAATTTAAAAAAAATTGCTTGAAAAAATTTAAAAATCTTTGCAAGAAAAAAAATTTAAAAATCTGCATAAAAAAAAAAATACATGAAAAATTTTTAAAAATTTTGCATGAAAAAAATTAAAACTATCTGCATGAAAAAAAATTAAAAATAAACTGCATGAAATTTTTTTAAAAAATTTGCATGAAAAACATTACAAATTTGCAAGAAAAATAATATATATATATATATATATATATATTTTTTTTTACCAACTTAGATAGTGATTGATCACTGTTGAGAACGAGTTTAAGAAAAATGACTGACTTTAATCCCTTATGTTTTCCAACAACACTATATCGTTTTGACCTTTAGCAACAACAAATGGTATGGTATATGTAGTGGGAAAATAGTTAAGGACATTTTAATATATTTACATAAGGAAGAGTAGTTTTAATATTTTTAAAAAATTTACGGTCAAACTGTTATTTTTGTACTAATAGAGTTAAAAATTACCATTAAGGGAGTGTATTTGATTTGAAAGTATAAATCAGAAGGGGGTACAATAAAGTTTTAGAATTGGGACGGGGTGTCATTGAATTTAGACTTAACTAGTGGAGGTGTGGATGAAAATTTTCCTTTATATTTTAAATAATTTTGTGAATATCAAAATTTTCATCAAATTTTGAATACTAAGTGGTGTGATATTCTGACAAAGTGACAGTCATTTGTTGAAGAAAATATGATTTGGTGATCAAAAGCACTACAGCTAAATGAAAATACAAGTTTGTAAAGATGTATAATATATTGTTGATTGATATTATTGAACTTTTCACCATCTTAATAAGATTTAGGAATTCTCCGGTAGAATTGGTTTCATCTGACATTGCTTATGCCTATGATATTTCACCAGAGATTCTTAATCATGGCTAATAATGGAAGAAGTTTGAGAAGAACAAGCCAACACTCTAGTAGCCCTTTTAGAACTCTTCAAGTTCGATTTTTGTACTTTGACAGATGTATTTGATTGTTTCTTGTAGGATTTAGAAACTTTAGATTTTTGGGCACAATCATTGTTTTTGAATCTCAAAGTTGTGGATAACAATTGAGAGAATTCTTTATACACTGTACAAAATTCTTGTAAATATGTTTTTATTTTTTTCATAGGTTTAGAGTCTGATAAATATCTCTAGCTTCATCAATCGAATATATATATAGTACTTTTTGACCCAAATCAACTAAAATTCAACACGAACTCACCTCACGATTGACATACAAGTGTTGGGAGTTCAAACAAAGTATTACTATATAGATGTTTCACAAGCTAAGTAATTCTAATTTGGTACAAATTGCCTTCTTTTATTCATTGCTCATCCTTTAACTTTTGACGGTACTCTCAATCTTCCTATTTTATCTTTTACTACTTCTTTCGTTCTTAAATATCTGTCGTTTTACATAATTTTTTTTGTTGCATAATATCTGTCGTTTAATGAAACTAAAATATAATTAATATTTTTTCTTCCAAATTTACCCTTAACTTTTCAATGTATTAGATTAGGTGGAGGCTAAGTGTCTTTCATATTCCCTTACTTCCTAATACGTATTGAATAAGAGTATTTTAGTCTTGTGTAATTATTTTTTACTCATATTATAACTATTTAATAACTTTCTTAATCCCTGTACAAAAATCTTAAACGAAAGATATTTTAGAACGGAGGAAGTATCTATTAAGTCATCGAAAGATTTTGGTGTCTTTGATATCACCCTCAATAAACACACATAATCACCCACAATTCGATTTTCTTCCTCAATAGATTCCCAATATCTAGAGTAAGGGCCCACCACTNTTTTGGTGTCTTTGATATCACCCTCAATAAACACACATAATCACCCACAATTCGATTTTCTTCCTCAATAGATTCCCAATATCTAGAGTAAGGGGCCATCACGAGTTTTAAAAAAATAAATTATAGAGTAATATTGGATTGATCAAATAAAGGGACAAAAAAATAAAGAACAAATGGTGTTTTTAATCCCACTTTTATTCGTTTAAAATTAGAAATATGTGGTTCCAGGAACCGGGCTTAAAAGATGCCAAACTTGAGAGCCCAAATTCTCGAAGGTCTGACGGCCCAAGTAAAAAGTTCTTTTAATGTTTGCACACATTCGGGCCCTGTGTTACCAGGCCCAGGATTTTTCATACAGTGTTGAAGTAATGGAGGAAGCGTTCTAAGCCTTTTTTTTTCTTGGCAAATCTTCTAGCTTTGTACATCATCAAACGGTAGACTGCCCATCGTATATGAGTGACGGGTCCACTCACAAATAGTGAGTTCCTCCTGGACTAATGGTAAGTGACATACTATTAAATAAATTTGAGTTAAAATATAATTGAAAGATCAAAATCCATGCTAATTAAGGCAATTTACAGATACACCATAGGTGGAGTTCAAGCACTAACACAATTCTCTACAACTGTAGAATTTGATTTTTTCTATCTCCTAACATCATCGTCCCCCATTTTGAGAGGCAAAAACACTTGTAGTATCGCATCTCCCCAAAAATATACGACGGGTAATAAGGAAGAACTTTAAAAATTAAGTCTTAGAGGTCNCATCATCGTCCCCCATTTTGAGAGGCAAAAACACTTGTAGTATCGCATCTCCCCAAATATATACGACGGGTAATAAGGAAGAATTTTAAAAATTAAGTCTTAGAGGTTAAATTCTATGCAATAAACAATTTTCTCACTTTGTTAATGAATTTTCTGCATACCGGGCACGCCTTCCTTTCCCCATCCATAATCCTGCATGAAACAATTACTCGTAAATCACGTGCTTGAGTTTCAGAATATGTATCTTTCTTAGCATGTTAATGTATACCTCTGGGCACAAACATAGCAGGTAGCACAGTGACCACAAGGAATGAAGAAGCAATCTCTTGGTTCATCATAGCATATTACGCATATTTTTCCATCGTACAAGTCTTCTGATGAACTGTTATTACAATTTCCTGACTCTTCATCTTCTTCACTTGTTCCATATGAGAATGAAGTTGCCTCCTTGGGTAGTAGACGATCGGTTTCTGTTGCTATTACTTGTTCTATCGTGGTGTCGCCACGGAGACTTCCTAGGAATTTCAGGACCAGGGCAACCACCATCACCACCACAACTGAAAGCATAAGAAAGTGAAGGACTATGAGATCGTTCTATTCTGAATTACATAAAATTTTCATGGATATGGGGCTTGGTTTTATATGAAGTGCAAATAGTTTACTGTAATCGAGGGTTAAAATTTTCTTTTGGTGCACGATCTTAGTTACTTCAGGAACAAAAATGTTTCAGGAATTTTTTTAAATCACAATGAAAATTGAGAAAAATCTTAAAATTTTTAATCCAATACAGTGGTGCGATACACCGAAACAATCCCCAAACATTCCAAAAGACGTAAATTTTTGATTTTTTATAATTAATTTATTTGGGTTACCCCCAAAACCAAAATAATTTGGTCATTTCGGTGGACACGAAACAAAATTTAATTTTTTAGCCTCGAAAAAATTCCGTATTTCTTTTGTAATAACCAACAAGTAATTACACAATTGGATGCATTCTTGATGTTTTTACAAGTAACCTACCTAACATTCCCACATAAATAACCGCACGCATACAAAAATCTGCAATTGCAGACCAGTCACCGTGATCAATATCCTGCAGAAATCAATATGAGAAAAGTCGTCATCATCATCATCATCTTATAAAATATATCCGTATGTAGTTCAAGTTTTCCACGTATACTGGTCAGATGGGTTAACAATAGCTTGAACATTCACTGGAAAATACATATATGGTAATCCTTATAGTCGGTGGTTCAGCGGTTGAGTCTGATTTTTTAGGAATATATTCTAAATTTATTCGGACTACAGTAATCAATTTTTGAGTTAGAAGGAATAACTAACGCTAGGCGACCAATAATCAAATTTGGATATAAGATAATCTGGTTCATACTCGATCCGTGCTTAATCAGAGCATATATAGGTACTCTGTAATGAAAAAAAAATAAAAAAAACACATATATGGTGCCTTACTTCATTGGGTGTAGTCAGAATGGGAGCATATTGATTGCTGAATTGAATACCCAGTGACATATCTAAGTCCTTGTGCCCTGAGCCGAGCTTTTTATTTTTATGAATCAATCTTCTCTCTTGCCTTCCCCTTGCTGAAGAAGATAGAAAATTGGAAGTTATGAGAATGATAAAGTAGGAATATTAAAGATAAGACTGTGAGGTAAAATTCTGAGGCATCTCCCGGTTATCTTTTTCAGTTTTTCCGAGGAATAAAAAACCAAAAAAAAAGAGACCCAGCACTCTTCAGTCTCTTCTGGCTTTTTATAAAAAGAAAGAAATTCCTTTCACTTTATTTCGAAAAAAAAAAGGGTTAATTACTCGAGGTGCAAAAAATATGGGATTTGTGTCATTTTAGTCTTTAAAACATTGCACATGTAGATAATATCTAAATTATTAATAATTTTTTATCATAAATTTGTTAAGTGATACTTAAACATGAGTAAAAAAATATATAATTTGGGTAACTTTTAACCAAAATTTAGGTAACTCACGACAAAAAATGTGTAATTTGGGTAGCTTTTTAACCAAAATTGAGGTAAAAATTTGGTCAAAGCTATCCAAATTATTTTTTTATCCATATTTAAATATCACGCTACAAATTTATTATAAAAAATTGTTAACAATTTAGACATTATCTACTTGAGAAATCATATAAAAATATATTCTATATTTCAGAAATTAAAATGATACAATTGAGGATCAAAATGAGAAGAACCCCTCCATAGTTTGACGAACTTTAGTACAGTTAACACAAAAAAAGAAAAGAACTTGTTCTTCGAAAATTTGATGAATCCCCTATCTGTATCTGCATCACCTTTGTATTCAATTACCTTGTTTCAAGCTTCATATTAAAGAATCATACGGCATATTTTTCGAAGCCATATGGAAAACAAATCCATTCCAGAAACTAAACAAAAATTATTTCAAAATGTAACCAAAAGCAAAAGCCAGTACTATAAAATAAAAGCATTTTACCATACCTGATCAGAATGTGTTGGATTTAGTTACCAAGCTCAAATTTAGATCTTCCAAAGAAGAAAAGAAGCACCACACACAGTGGGTTTGCGGTTAAGGACTCGGGTTTGAGGTTTAAACTGCTCGAATCAAAACCTGATATTTTTTCAGACAGCTTCTGCACCTTTCAAATTGGGTGGGGTTGGGGGAGAGGGGGGACATGTACACGAATATCTAAATTTCTGGTGTACGAGAAGGTGTTGCAGTTTGGAAGGTAGGAGAAGAACAACTGCCGCAGATCTCCCGAGAGGACAAAAACACTAGGTAGAGGTGTGGCTAAAGAAAAGTAGTGAATAAAAGAAGCAGTTAGCAAACTTTCATTGTTTTTAATGGTGGCTTGTCCTTGATGGGGTGCCACGTTTACACAAATGTCAGCTCATTGAGACGGTGTAATCATTTAATAAGACATAATTAAATAGTTAAAGTATTCCTACATGACATTAATAAATAATTATTTAATTGCATAAAATTTCTTTCTTTGCTTGGTATCTTATTAATTGATACAGTGTAACCGTGATTTTCAATATTTTCTTGTCCAAGACAGTTATGTTTTGTTTAGTAAGAATGATGAAAATTATGAGATATAAAAAATATGAATGATACATTTTTTATCTTTTAAAGAAAATACGAATAATACATTTGGAGCTAAAATAATATCGATAAAATAAAAAAGAAGCTAAAATATTGACTTTATTTATTAACTTAATCAATCATACTCATCGGATCGATAAAAAATATGAACAAATACTAATACTTACAATCAATTGTTGACAATAATTGATTAGGCATTATCAAATAAAGTCAACGCACATTTTAGGTCAAATAAGCATCCGTAGTAATGGAATACCCAAATGCTACATAACCGACCAAGGGAATATAGAAAACATATTCCTTCTAATATAATTTGGCTTGGAATCAAATAGATTGACTAACAATAAGGAGATTAAAGGACTTGATGCAAATATTATAAGTAAAATGAGTAAAAGTGGGACAAAATTTACGACCATACTTGCATCACATCTTTGAATTTTTTTGTCTATCTAGTATTATCCGATGTCTTAAATAGTTAATTAGACATTGATATAAGACTCGTTTTTGTACGATAAATTAAATTTGAATTTGTAGTAGATGATTTATAATTAAAAAAAAAACTTAAATAAAGCGTACTAGAAGAATCTAAATCTAAAAATGAATAAGTCNTTTTGTACGATAAATTAAATTTGAATTTGTAGTAGATGATTTATAATTAAAAAAAAACTTAAATAAAGCGTACTAGAAGAAGCTAAATCTAAAAATGAATAAGTCTTTTTTTTTCTCTCTAAAGAATTGATTGAGGTAGACATGTTTAATAACATGTTACCAACATTATTGGTTAATGGAATAAGTGAGGCATATTATATTAGGGTTTTGTATTTTACATAATTATTGTTGGTGGTTGAATAAATGAACAACCTTGAGAAAGACACCTCACCAATAAAAGGAGAGAGAAAGATAGGAGGGGGAAATACTTAATTAATCTAGGTTCATCCCCTTGTGTACCCAAAATATGCTCCACTAAAGGGATATTTTGTGTTTGTGGTTCACTTGACAAAATGGCATATTAGTCAAGGAGTGATGAGAACCAAAGCAATATTAACAAGAAAAAAGAAAAACAGTGGTTGCACACAGCGACGGAGCCAGGAATTCAGTTTACCATGGACACGTTAATTCCAAAATTTAATTAATAAAAATATAATAATAAATTTATATTTGTTTAGATAGAAGTCAATCGTTGAAAAATAAAAATTAATTGTAGGCCAATTATAAGTAATTTCATGTTTAAATTAAGAGCATAAACAAAAAAAAAAAATCATAGGTTATACGCAAAAATATATTAATCACAAAAAGCCCTCCTACAATAAAATACATTGAATCAAAAATTAAAGATTGGTTGAAGTTCATAATTTAGAAAAAAAAAATCATACGAATTATGAGTAAAAAGACGCTAAAAATTAGCAAAAGAATCATGGACAACCTTTTTATTGCCTCCTGTGATTTCATATAAAGGCAGGAAATAACTTGGGTGAGGCTTGCACAGTCACCAATTACATATTGTTATTTCTCTGTTTCTCTTTAATTTTTTCTTAGTCTTTCTTTCTTTTTTGTTTTATGCGAGTAGTCTCATAAGATTACAATGTTTATATGTGAATTTTTTCAAGTTCAAATGTTTTTTTTCACTTTATTTTATGAATATATTTCTTAATACTTATAAAATAATCATATATTTATCACAAAATAATCCTACTTTTGATTTAATATTTAAAGAAGCTCATATTTTTTTTGAAAAAGCTCATAATTTTTTTTTTTTAAATTTCACAAATGACTTTCAATATGTCCAAAATATATCCAAACATGTCTAAAACGTGTATGTAATATGCTTATGCTCAGCCATTTTGTGTTAGCTTATATAAAAAATATTAGGATGGANATTTTTTCAAGTTCAAATGTTTTTTTTCACTTTATTTTATGAATATATTTCTTAATACTTATAAAATAATCATATATTTTATCACAAAATAATCCTACTTTTGATTTAATATTTAAAGAAGCTCATAATTTTTTTTTAAAAAAAAATTTTCACAAATGAGTTTCAATATGTCCAAAATATATCCAAACATGTCTAAAATGTGTCTGTAATATGCTCAGCCATTTTGTGTTAGCTTATATAAAAAATATTAGGATGGACACAATAAAAATATTACACTCACACCCCATTATGTTTTCCGTAGACTTTTATTTTATCCTAGTGATCTACAAATACGATAGTCCGACTTTGAATTTCAATCAACTTAAATAACAAATCTAAATCATCAAAAAGATAAAATTGAAGACCTTTCTTTTTTATCAATCAACTTCAACGCCAGCACCAACCAAGCATTGACATTGTACACGAGAGTGACAGAGAGAAAGAAAAAAAAAGNTTTATCCTAGTGATCTACAAATACGATAGTCCGACTTTGAATTTCAATCAACTTAAAAAACAAATCTAAATCATCAAAAAGATAAAATTGAAGACCTTTCTTTTTTATCAATCAACTTCACCGCCAGCACTAACCAAGCATTGACATTGTACACGAGGGTGACAGAGAGAAAGAAAAAAAAAAAGAGTGAGGAAAAAAGACTCTTAACTGCACCATCTACCTGCTGAATCCACACTAACACCACCTAATAAGTCCTCCCAATCCAGCATCGAATTAATTCAATCCACTTCCCAAACCACCACCGGTCCACATCGACCCCAAATCGATTCAACAGAGGTATATGACTGTAAAGAGTGTGATCGATTATAAAATATTACGATCGATCTAAAAATGTCACGATTTATAATGGAAGTTACAACTTATAAAAATCAAGTTACAACATTTGAGGGTTAAATTACGCTTCCAAAGGTGAAGTTATGACATACTAAAGTTATTTACGATCGATCATAACATTTCATGACCGAACATGAATAACCTAAATCAA